TAATTACAGTTGAATTACACAGGTAATGCCCGCTGACATTTAATTCGGTGAAATCCAGTCGAGTGTGCAAGAATCATTCAGACAGAAATACTGAAAAATCGATAATAAAATATTACTTAGTAATAACCGGAAAATATTGAATTGACGCTTGAGGGGCGCGGTATTTCATAATTTCCACTTCGTCTAACACACGAACGCAGCAAATACGAAAAAAAGAGAGTTGCGCGAATATATGCGCCAGATGTGCAATTAATCCGGCAAAATCTATTCTGTTTAATGAATCGCAGCGCGAATTTAATCACGTCGAAGGTACAAATAAAGACTCTGGAATTATTAATACCGTATGGCATACATTTTGCGGTTTAACATGCATTCCGCAATCTTTTAATACCCATATCCCTCATTCGCGTGTATGTTATATATTCAAGTTTTTTCAACATATCGTTATAATTGCGATCTTGGAAATTAAAATCTCATCTAGAATAACTGACAATTTCGTAATAAAATTCTTGTTGCTTAATACACTTTATTTTAAGTTGATAAAAACTTGTCTGAAAATATTTTTAATTTCGTGATGGGCATTTAACGTTGTATATATGAAATAAGTAAAGTAATCATTATGTAATAAGTACTATAAGGGCGCGCGAATTTAAAAAGATGAAACTTTCTTTGGCCTAATCTAAATCAACACGAAAATGTATGAAAGACATCTCAAGGATCTCGCCAAAAGATTATGACGTCTTTTAGACATCTTCTAGACTCTCATGTTTGAGATGCAAAGTTTCAGATAAAGAGCAAACTTTAATGCGCTGATGGCTGCATCTCCCTAAATGTCTCCTTGAAATCTGCTCCGCCCTAGCCATGAGGGATTTTAATAAGCGGCGCGTAAACTCGTGGGAACGAAAAAGTGGCAAAGTTCGAACGTGGGACGATAGATCGAAGTCGCGCGGAATCGCGGAATCCAATTTAAATAATACTATCCTTCCGGCAACTTCGACTTCGGCGCTTCCTCTGGGAAGAGGGCGAACGATTGCGTTCGTCGCCTTTTCCTCTCTAACCAGTCGTCCCAAAGGAGCTTAAAAAATGATCCGCCAAAAGAAATTACGAACGCTCGCGTGGTTCTCTTTCTCTCTCTCTTCTCTCAATCTTTTCCTCCCTCAATTCCGTTCGGGACTGGATTACATTTTCTATCGAATTCCGCAGCGTCTGTTCTCATTGGAAGAGAAGATATGCCCGAAAACGCTCGCGATGTGCGGGCCGAGTTGTCGATATTCCGCAAATCTTTTAAACGTCAAGTTAGTTAAAAAAAACCATTGGCGACCTCGGCCGAATGTTATGTAATTACTTAAGCTTAAAAAAAGGTATCACACGACTGACCGCGAATATCGGCGAGTGAAAATGACAGCCGTCGTTTGCACGGGAGATTATTTATCGAACCGAAGTTGCAGGGCGCGGTATGCGAGAGTTAATCAACAACTTGAAAATTGGATTTTCGCATTTAATGTATGAATTGAAAACGTGATTACTTCGTTCAGTCGTTCATTACCGTTGTGCTGGGGAAAAAAATGTTGTTTGAAGTATACGTAATCATACCGTAATTGTCAAAGTACATTTGATTTCTTTGCAATAGCTTGTTCTTAATTTAGATTCTTAATTTAGGTTTTTAGTTTAAATTCATACTAGGAAAGTGACGGATTAATTGAGAATAATTAATTATGATTGTGATTAATAATTTTTTTTTTTTATCAAACTTTTTCTTTTTTAAATAAATTTGAGATATCAAATATTAGTTTAATATTATTACATTTAATATTTTAGAACTATTTTTTTATATTAATGTTAAAAATTATGTACGAAAGAGAGGGAAGAGAGAATATTAAATAAAATTGCCAATAAATATTTTGCATTATTATTCTATGGGAAGAAATATAATTAAAATAGTGACATAATATTTGAACGATTGCAATAAATATCCGCAATATGTTGCAATCAATCAAGCGTAGAATTTTTGATATGAGATATGATGAATTATCTGTCTCGCCCATTCAAGTGATCTATCCATGTACCTTATTAAATGAGAATGTCTATCATGTTTCGAATAATATTCGTACCGAGTGTGCCATGATTGCAAACGTATTTTTTGCAATATTATATTTTCCCCAAATAGTAATTTCATTATTATTTATAAGAATAATCTTTCGTTTTATTTTTTTAATTATATTAAAATTATAAAAATTTTAGATTAATGTTTCTGTTCATTTATTTATTTTTGAATCTAGAGATACATAAATATTTAAATGTTTGTTTTCAGAGATTCTTCAAGTACATATCAGAATAATCTTTCGTTTTATTTTTTTAATTATATTAAAATTATAAAAATTTTAGATCAATGTTTCTGTTCATTTATTTATTTTTGAATCTAGAGATACATAAATATTTAAATGTTTGTTTTCAGAGATTCTTCAAGTACATTAAATTTTTATAGATTTTTATAGAGGAAAAAAACTGTCTAAAAACGATCGTTTGTACATTATTCGTTAAATGACTAATTCAATAAAATATCTCGATAAATCAATACTTTGAAAGTTATGTGCGAAAATCATGCTCATTGTAAGGTTCAGCTCGCCTTTAAAGAGAGAATGCATCAGACGATTAAAGCACATTCCTGAGTCCCTTTAACTTTCAAATTCTCGCTTTTACCGACACAAAAGCACTCCTATATTGAACCGAGCTTCCTGCTTGACAGCTTCATTTCATCCTAAGTGGTTTCACCGTGTCGTCATCCCCTGTATCGCGGACATTAATCAAGAGATTGCTCGAGTGTTTCAGCAAGTACGTTGAAAGCATCCTACTGTAACTTGTATTTACGTAACAGATCGCATTAAGTTATCTTCATCTGATAAGCGATTTATTCATGCATGAAAGAACTTTGATTTTCGGATTATTCGTACCGCACTGATTCGTTCGTATCTCTCATTGTCTTTTTTATCATTCAATTGACATTAGTAATATGACTATTAATATTAAAAATATGTAAAATAATTTCTTGAATTAATGAGAACAAGACATTTCTAATGACAAAAAGCTGTATTACGTACTCAAAGAATTCCGTCTATTTAACTAGAGAAGAGAAAACTCGATGGAATCGTTTTACGGTTTTTATTGCGATATTATTAAAATTACAAACAATTGTCGGAAAAAAATTCATTTAAATTCCGCACATTGGATGTCTCCAACAAATATTAATATACATATAATCAATCTCAGAATCTCGCATTTATATATGCAACGAAAAGAATTTAATAAACAATTTCGTATTTTGAAATAATTATTTCACGTTAAATTTTCCAATATTTAATATAATTTTATGCATGAAAATAATTCGTCATTTATTGTGCGTTGAAAAATTTTACATTTAAACGAGAAACAGATAACATTTTTATGACTGTGCGAATAAGATGCGGATATGTATTTTTCAATTCGTTACTAAAATGTTAAAATTAAATAAAATTAATAAATTTAATAAAATGCCAAAAATTTAATTGAATAAGTTAATAACACATACATATACAATTAATAATTAAATAAACTAGAAAGATATAAAAATATTAAAATCATTTAAATATGGTAGAATGTTAAAGTTTGAATCTTTGCGGTTTTGGAAACCTTTCTCAATTCTAAGTAAATTTTATTATTTTGCAACTTTTACTTTGAAAGTGTTTAATTTTTATCATGTTATTTAAATTATATATACATGTATATATTCTTAAACTTGTTGGAAATTTGCAAGATATAGTCATGATTTTACTATTACTATTCTAGAGTCCGGTGTATAATTCCATCGATTGCTACTTATGCATAGCATGTAACTTACAAAAGGGCAAATAATATGCAGACGGGACAAAAACGGTCGGAAAAGGCACGAGAGAGATATCGAGCGAGTGGTATCATAAAATTTGCATAGCGACCGACTTGAGAATCGCTGTTGGGCGGTTGTACTGAATTTTAACAACGGGTTCGCTCGCTATTCTTTCGTTTGTGAGACTCCATTTTCGCGAACGTGTAGATCTTGCGCGAATGTCAAGAGGAAAGCCGGACCTAGTGCACGTATTTCCTAGATGCGTTTTACGCATCTGGTCACGAACAATCCGTTTTCGATTTCCTCGCTTGAAAACGCGCACTCGAGCAAAGATCTGGATGCAACAGCAAAGAGAGAGAGAGAGAGAGAGAGAGAGAGAGAGAGAGAGAGAGAGAGAGAGAGACAAAAACAGAAAGAAAGTGAGAGAGAGCTTTTTACTAACATCTTTCATCGATATGGATGATACGATGTGACCGCAGATTAATGTATTTTTCGAGTTCGTCTAACTGAAGCGAAATCTGATAATTTTAAGTATGCACTTTATCTTTTTATTTTTCGAGTAAAGAATTTGCGAGAGGCAAACATGGTTGCAATACATTTTTTATATATTTTTTTTTGTTTACGTTTGTGCGAATAAATATATTGATATGTTGTACTCTTATTCTACCTCTGCTCGTCAGTTTTGACATGTATTTTACATTTATATCAGTATTTGAACCAAAAAATATAATAAAATCCCGCACTTACATTGTTCCCTTTTTTTTAGAGAAAAAATAACAACAGTATTTTGCAAGGTTACTAAAAATATCAAAATAACTCTTTATCAAAATCTACTGGTACCTGAAATAAATAAAAAAGTGCATTACAAAAATAAGATAAAAGAAAAGCACCTAAATGAAATAATATGTATAAATATTAAAAAGTCTTATTGTTAAATATTCATCAAAATATTTTACTATATCTAGATAAACATAGTTTACTATACCTCTCGAAATTCTTGTGCGAGCAATAATTAAAGAAAAATACATTTTAAAATTATTTTTGAAATGTATCTTTTTTTATTTATATTGTTTCAAGAATTTTGAGGAAATCTGAACATGGCTAATCGATTGTGCACGTGTATTCTCTACTTGTGTTACAGCGCCGAGTCTGACGATCAGCGATGATTCCGGACGTATAGTTTCTAAAGAGAGACATTTGAAGGCAGGCAGTGTTCTCAGACTCAGATGCGAGGCGAGAGACGTGCTAGAATCGCTGAACGAGTCTGTCGTTTGGACCAGAGGAGACGAAACGCTCAGCGAGGACATTAGGTAAGTGTACGAGAAGCGAATTATTGTTAAAGTCCTATTTATTTGTATGATTTAGACGCGATGCTTGCAATCGCTTGCCATAAATCGTCCTTCCAAAACCATCTGATTTTATTGCAAGGTAGACATCCTATTTGCAAATACGATTTCTCTCTACTTCCAACATCTTTTTTTTTACACAATTTATATATAATCTAATTTGTACAATACATTATGTGAAATGTGAAGAGATTATGCAATAAAAAAAATATAGATATGAGAGAAAAATTAATAAAATAATGCGTTGCGATATTTTTTAATCGATTACTTTGCGAAAGAAAAGAAAGAAATGATGCTTTACAGCTTTATCGGAAAGATTTCTCGCGTGAAGCAGATTTTTAATTAAATTATCGAATTGTGATAAAGCTGGAATACATAAGTGTCACGAGGTTTGCTCGAGATTTACATTCCCAAAAGGAGCGAGGTTTCTTCTCTTACTATATACATATATCCTTTGTACCACACACGCGCAATTTTCCGTTCTGCTTTCCCTCTTTCTAGATGACGATACCAGGTATATCTCAAAATCTCTCGTATAAGTATTATTCTCGTACGTGAGTCGAAAAGATCGCACCGTACTCTCATTCTTAGTCATAGTTTTTAATACATATGTATAGAAATTTTCCAGCATATCTACATCTGCATGTATATGCGAATATAAAGCTCTTTTGTAATGTAATTTAAAACAAAAAAATGATAAATATTGAAAAATTTGTATTCATGCACTAAAAAAAATTCATACTTTTTCCGTTAGAAACTTAAAACAATAAAGCGGTGAAATATTGAATATAACGTTTGACATATTGGCAAATATTATGTTCGATGTAAATATGAGAGACTATATTACGATTTCTTCATTTTATGGTTCTACAATTTTTTCATACGTAGAAATGAATATTTTCCTGTACTTTATAAATGTTCGATATTGTAGCTTCTTTATGTCATAAAATACATCGCAGAAATAAATCGAATAATACAAAAAAAAGAAGTTTAGGAAATTTAAGGAGTTTAAAATTATTAGAATTAAAAAAGTAATATTTAGTAGTTTTATAAAACCATAATTTGCTTCTTTATATTTATTGTATACATGTAAAAAAACAAAGTATTATTTTACACATTTTTAATCTGAGATTTCATTATTTCTGTTTTGTAGAGAGAGGTTTATTTTGTGAGACAGATTATCTAAATAAGATTTTCGATAAAAGATGGATTGGACAAATTGAAGCAATTGTCATTCCAATCTCAAAGAAAAATGAATAGAAAGTCTGTAGCTCACTCGGTTAACTATTCATAAAATATATATGAAATTCAAATAATATACGCTCGCGATAAATTCGTCATTCAGTTCCAAAACGAGCTTCTTAATTAAATCGGCAGACAAGACCTGGTTGAGATTGACATGCGCGAGACTAGAGGAGAAATTTCTCCAACAGCATTCTACGTCCACTTGATAAAATCACCTCCCTTTCTCTTCTTCCTAGCCACTCGATAAAGCGAATCTATAGGGTGTCTCTTTCTCACATTTCCCATTTATAGAGTTGACTTTTTCTTAGCACAAATGCCAAGATAATATTCTTTTCAAGTAAAGAAGCGATTAAAAATTTAGAGATTATCAGAAATTAGAAGTGCAAAAAGTATTAAGATCCTAATTTCCATTTAATTTGAAAATTAAATTACAAAAATTAAATTTAAGTAGATTCTTACATACTCCGTTGAAGCTTAATTAAAACTCTGAAAAGCTCAATATTATTTTAAGCGGATTATCAAAACATACACGTGTAATACATTCAAGTTTTAAAATTAAAAAAAAAAAAAAAAAAAGAATTTCAACAAGATTTTAATTCAAACGACGAGAAAAATTTCGTTTCAAGCTTCGAAATAGGATGAGACAGAATAGAAAAGTTTTACGTTGCGAAAAATTGCCGAAGAGGGATCTGAACAGATTGCTCAAAGGAGAGTATCCGAAAGACATCCTGTACATACGCGGAACCTCTCTCGCGATACGCGAACCGGTCGGAAGCTCACAGCTTGATCTCGTTTTCAGCGAGAACAGAACGACGGAGATCTCGGCGGGCAAGGAGGTCCTCGTGATTGTCAGCACTCTCATCGTGGAGAGGGCCAGCCCGAGGCACGCCGGAAACTATAGCTGCATGGTGCCCGGCAAAGCCAAGACCACCGTCGCGGTCCACGTTCTCAACGGTGAGTAGATCCTTTACGTGCACACGTGTGTACCACAATTGTCGTTGTATATAACTTTTTCCTCTCCTCGAGGAGAATTTCGCCGGCACGCCGATAGTTAAGAAAGCACGGCGAAGTTTCCTTCCGTATATAGTCGGGAGAGACTTCGAATCGTTATATGCGCGATATGGATTAACAATCCTGAAAGTTAACCGAATGTGCTCTTTCCTTTTCGTGTCCCGGTTCTGCGATTTCCGTTTCCGCGATCAGAACCTTCTATGCACAAAACTGAATCTTATTTAAGCTCAAACGATTACGCGAAACTGCATATGTATATACGTCGAGTTTCCGCGGAAATTGAAGTTACTTTGATTTTTAAGAGTGACTTTGAATGCATGCACGGAAGGGATATTTATATTTATGAAAATTGATTGTAATAAATTCTATATAATGTACGCTTGTGGGATTTGAATTGAAAATTTAGTGGAGTACACACAGTTCTGTGATAGAGGATATATTCTTTGCGATTGAAATTTTGGAAACGACTGACAGAAATTTTTAGCACAAGGATCTTTAATATTTACAGCATTAAAACCTCTATATAAAAAATTACATTGCCTTCTATTCCTATACAGGGTGTTTCTAAAACTATGCCAGAGATTTTAAGAGCGTATTTTACAGGTCAAAATGAAAGAAAAAATTCCTATAAACATCCAAAAATGCTTTCTCTCCGAATTATAGCTCCCTCAAGTTGGGAGAAAAAATTAATTTTCGGAAGAAAAACATTTTTGGACCATATTTATAGGAACCTTATCTCTCATTTTGACTCCTAGAATACACCCTTAAAATCTGACATAGTTTTAGAAACAGTTTGTAGATTAAAAGTTGTCTTTAAAAATAATAATGATTCACATACACACACATACACCCTTGCTTTTCTTCTCGTACTCGTCCTTTCTCTTGGCGATTAAATGAAGTTTTGCCAGAGAAAACGAGCACTTCCTCTTCAGATGCTTAACAATTTTCTTACGCGAGCATTTTGCGCAAACGTCTTCTCGTTGCTTCGTGCTTTTCACGATGTTACAACGAAGGCAGAGCAAGTTATCCCACGACGATCCCCGGTAGTAGTTACTTATCAAACTTGAATGGACCTGCTCGTCGCAAGAGTCGGCGGGAATACGGAACGAGGTATAAATCGCAGGGGATTCGCATGGTGATTATTCACAGTTGAGCCGCGCGTTTTTCGCTCGCCACCATCCGGATATGCAGCTAACCGCGCGAAACATAAGCGCGCAACATTCGCGACGACCGCCTTTCTCTCTCTCCTCGTAACGTAGAATGTTAATGTCGCTGTAGCTCTTCATTATAGAGGGTCGTGCGCAACCCTTCGCTGGAATTTCCGAAAATTTGCGAGGACGCTTAATTTATTCCGGCCGACCGCGTTCGCGTGATAGGAAAATATTGTGAGTTTTATATCACACGTATAGCGATGCCAGGAAACGCCGCTTCCGCGGTTCTCTTTACTATCTGGCGACGAACTCGGCTAAATGGATGTCTTGAATATTCTGTCACGCGTTTTGACAAACGACGTTGGATTTGTTGATTTATCATATGTCTGGTTTAATGGCTATTTTCAAGAGTATTTTCTCCAGAAAGTATTGAATAGATTTCGCAATTTACACACTGAAACAAATTATTAAATTAATATTTATTCTAATATATATACTGCCGAATAAATCATTTATTTGAAGGAAATCAATATTATTAATAGCAAATTGATGATTTATTTTAGGCAGCATTGACATAAATAACAATTTTTTTATCAGTGTACAACAAAAAATAAATGTGATAAACAATTTTTCTAATGAGCAATATATTTTTTCTATAAAAAAATATTTTATAAAAAATTCTACATCAGTTCTATGATGAATAACGAATGATTAGAAGCGAGATTGATTTATCATATGTCTGGTTTAATGGTTATTTTCAAGAGTATTTTCTCCAGAAAGTATTGAATAGATTTCGCAATTTACACACTGAAACAAATTATTAAATTAATATTTATTCCAATATATATACTGCCGAATAAATCATTTATTTGAAGGAAATCAATATTATTAATAGCAAATTGATGATTTATTAATAAAATTTACTTTTATTTAATTAATTAATTTATTTTAAATTTTCATTTACATTACCTATATCTATAACTTATATATATATTTAATTTTTTTTTTTAATACTTCAACAATTCAAAAACTAATTCTACTTAATCTTTTATTATAATTTTATTTAATTAAAATCATTACACAAATCATATTAAATTTTTCATAAATATTTAAAAATTTAATTTTTTTTTAAATTTTAATAGGCAGCATTGACATAAATAATTTTTTTATCAGTGTACAACAAAAAATAAATGTCACGAACAATTTTTCTAATGAGCAATATATTTTTCTATAAAAAAATATTTTATAAAAAATTCTACATCAGTTCCATGATGAATAACGAATGATTAGAAGCGAGATATCTTTTTGGGAGAATAACATATATAGAGCAAAGCAACGACAAAGCATTATATAGCGACGAAAGGAAAATGGAATCTCGAAGTACAGGAAAAACCACTCGCGCGAATCTTTAACGATGTGTCATAAAACAAACTGTTAATCGTAAATCTAAGGTTGCTGGGTCTGTGATGTATAATACGATTGAGACGTAAGAGCGATGAAGAAATCCCTAGAGCGGACACCTTTTCCCGACGAGCATCGGTAAGACGGGAAACTCCCCTTTTATCTCCTAATGCGCTTAGCAGATGTACCGAAAACTCGGCGAGAAATCCGGAAGGAAAGAAACGATCGTGTGTTTTCTCTCTCGTTTCCCTTTTTGCGCGCGCGCAAAGGGCCGACATTATCTATTCAATGAGTTGATCACGATAACGTACCCGTCCGGATTCGCGCTCGATCGCGTCCATTTTAGGATACCTAATCACGCGTGTTCCGCCACGTGGAGAAAAAATGAAGAGGATGGTCTCTTGGTTCATTGAGTGCATTCAACCATGTGGAATTCGAATTTCTGCGAGACGCATCGTCGCTCGAACTGATGACTCCATCGCGAGCAAACGAGATACGAGTTCCGTCACTTGAAAGAAAATTATAACCGGTGAAATTATCTTGATTATACTTCATAAAAATGCACTTGTTATAAAATACTATTTTGTAAGAATAAATGCACAGGAAACTTCTTACTGATGTAAAAGTGTGATAATCCTTCAAGCTTTTAGACAGAATCTAATAATAGCATCTTGAAAATGTGTTTTATATAAAAGAAGGATATCTTCCTATAGGTTGTTTTATGGAGAGCTTATCTCTACAGCTTTTAGCTGTGATCGCCAAGAAAAACAAAAGCAAAGGAAACAATATCGGATCTTACAACATTGATTAAATATAATATACGATAAATATTTACAATGCTATAATATATTTACAACATGACGTTATTTGAAAAAAAAAACTTGATAAAAAAATTACAATGCAAGCTTTACGTAGCATTTCTGATCAAGAATAAAGCTTTTAGCAGAAATGAAACTCAGAAATATTATTGTAAAAATGTGCCTTTGTGATATAAGAAAACAGTACACCATCACACTGAGGAAAGCATTGCGAGAAAAAACAGTAGAAGAACAAACACCTCACAGATCTTACGCTTTTAGCTATAAACATACAAATATGTTTACGATGAAACAGCGTCTTAAAAAAATATCACTATTTTCCAAGTATAATCTCACGTAAAATTCACGATAGAATTTTATTGAAAAATAACGAGAAAAAGCATCGCTTCCTTTAATTTGTATCGCGGAAAAACTGAGGAACGTTTAATAAGAAATATGAGAGAATGAAGCGGGAGAGAAAAAGCAAAGTACGCGAGAAATTGCGTCAAGAATATAGAATCATTGTCTGCGTAAAACAACCTTTGCAACTCGTTGAAAAGTTGACGCGGTGGCGGAGTCGTTGCGAAGAATAGGGATTTACGCTCAATCGTAGGAAAACAGGGGGAAAAGATCTTGCGTTTGGCTGACAAGGCTGACATCAATGCACTCTTAGTAACGTTAAGCAAGGGCAAGTTCCTCCGGGTCAGGCTAACATCCGGTTTTGATGCAGCTGACGATGACGCGAATCTTTGATACATCGACAATGCACAATGTGCATTGTGCTCCTTTTTCTGATGGTCCATAAACGCGGAATTCGCACACGTTTGCCAAGACGGCGAGGAAAAAAGGGACGGTCTTTTTCGCGCGATAAGACGATGTTTTCTCGCCGGGGATGGCTGTATTCCCGAGATGAACAGAACGTCGATAAGGGGTCTGGGAAGATAAGAAGAGATACAGAGAGAAGGCTAGCGTCCATCCTTTTCGCGGACATAATGCACGTCGCTTTCAACAAATCTTCGTTCCGAGGCCACTTTTTCTGAAAAGTAAACTCGGCGTAAGAAAATCTTAATCTTTCGCGCGTCTGTCATAATCTCGAAGATGCATCTTTGATCCTCCACGGACGTGTCATTGTTTCATTCTTCGCGAGAGAGCGAGGTCGTTTCTCTGTCGCTATAAGTCTAACGCGACTTCAATCTCGCGAATTATATTTCGTTCAGATTACTCTTTTGAAACGGTTTTAATTAGTGATGCTTTGAGAGAGAGAGAGAGAAAAATCTCTCTTACGTCTATAATATTATAATTACACGTTGATAAAAATTCTTATCTCTTTTTTTTTAACACGCGCCTTATAAAGTGACCAGAAAGAAAAGGACACTGAATTGATGAAATGGAAACTTTGAATAATTTCGAGAAATATAAAGTGCGAAAAATTTATATAGGAACTCTCGGCTAGTTTTGATTCACATCGCCAATAAATTCAGCAGAGAGCTCCCGCATCTCACACGGAGCATCGAATTTATGTTTCGTTTTCCACCGACATCGAGTCGACCGCGGAAAGATATGAACGTATATATTTTCAACGTCGCGCATCTCT